TGCGGGAGTGTGGAGTTAGGGATGCGGGGATGCTGCGTTACGGGGCTGGGGATGCGGGCTGCAAGAGTACAGGGCTGTGGGATGCGGGTTTACAGAGCCAGGGACACGGGGATGTGGGGCTGGGAATCCAGGCTGTAAGGATACAGGGTTGTGGGATGGGGAGGATATCGAGCTGAGAGACAGGGATGCGGGAGTATAGGGCTGGGAATACAGCAATACAGAGATACAGGTCTGGGGATGATGCTGCGAGAGTGCAGAGTGCAGGGGTACCGAGCTCAGAATGTTGGGGTACAGGGCTGGGAGTGTACAGGACAGGCAGGTTTGGCTCTGATAGCCCAGGGCAGTGGGATGCAGGGCTACAGAGCTGGAGATGGGAACTGCTGAGGTACAGGGATTCAGGGCTGGGAGTGTGGGATGGAGCAGTACAGCGATTTGGGGTGTGTGCTGGGAGTCCAGGGCTGTGGGATGCAGTCTGCACAGATACAAGGCAGCAGGCTGTAGGATGCAAGGATATGGGGCTCTGCTAGCCAGGCTCCAAGGGTACAGGACTGTGGGATGCAGATTGCAAGGATATGACGGTACAAGGATGGGGTGCTGTGGGATACCTGAGGGATGCAGGGCTATGGGCTGCAAGGGTAAAGAGCTGCAGAACACAAGCTTTAGGGATGCGGGATGAAGGGATACCAGTTGCAGGTTGCAAGGATGCAGGGCTGCAGGGATGCGAGCTGTAAGGATGCAGGACTCTTGGATGGGACTCTTGGATGCAGGACTCAGGCTGTGGAATGTGGTGTTACATGTTGTGGGAATATGGGGCTGTGGGATGTGAGGATGTGAAGATACAGAGCTGCATGTACACAAGATGCAAGGAAACATCTCAGGGAAACAGGCTGCGGGATGCAGAGATGCAGGGCCAAGCGGTCCACAGCTGCAGGGATGCAGGATATGGGAATACAGGCTGCAGGATGCGGGATGCACGACTGTAGGATGCGGGATGTGGGAACACGGGAAGCAGGATATGGGTAAATGGAGCTGCAGGATGCGGGACTACGGGAAGCAGGATATGGCCAGACAGAGCAGCAGGATGCAGAGACACGGGGCTGCGGGGTGTGGGGATGTGGGATCCAGGATATGGTGCTGTGAGTTTTTGGGATGGGTGATTTGCTCTGCAGAGGTGCACGCTCTGGATGCGAGATGCAGGGAAGCAGGGACTGTGATCTGTACCAAGGGGCGGTGGGAGGCAGAATCCCCAGCCCTGGCAGAGGGGTTCCCATTCCATGCAGCCCCATTCTCCCACAGCACTGAGGTGCTGGGCACTGCTGGATTCTCCTTCTGGGACAAGGGAACAGCCTGGCTTGGGAACCCATTCCCCAGCCCTTCCTGCTGCCGGCAGTGAGACCCCGCTCAGGTGCCGAGCCATCTGCAGGAGCCCTTCACCCCTGGGCTGCCTCTCCCTGCGTGCCCCTGTGCCCTGGCCAGTGCCAAGTGGCTGTGCCACTCTCACAGAGCTTCTCTTTCCTCTTCCAGGCCAGTCGTGGAAAGCGCTGAGCGCCAGCGACAAGCGTCCCTTCGTGGAAGAGGCAGAGCGCCTGCGAATCCAGCATCTCCAGGATCACCCCAACTACAAATACCGCCCAAGGAGAAAGAAGCAAGCCAAGAAAATCAAGAGGATGGAACCCAATATCCTCCTGCATAACCTTTCCCAGCCTTGCAGTGACAACTTCAGCATGAGTCACCATGGCGGCAGCCAGCCGGGCCACCCCCAGCCTCCCCCACTTAACCACTTCAGAGAACTCCACTCCATGGGGTCGGATATTGAAAACTATGGCTTGCCAACTCCTGAGATGTCTCCCTTGGATGTCTTGGAACAGACCGAGCCGGCATTTTTCCCCCCGCACATGCAGGATGACTGCAACATGATGCCCTTTCGCAGCTACCACCACCATCACCAGATGGAGTTTCCCCAGGAGAAGTGCATGGGGCGGGACGTGGCCGTGCCCTACACTCAGACCCCCTCACACTTGGCCGACGCCATGAGGACTCCCCATCCCTCCAGCCTTTACTACAACCAGATGTGCTCAGGAACTCAGAATGGGCTTTCCGCCCACCTGGGCCAGCTGTCGCCCCCTCCTGAAGCCCACCACATGGAGAGCGTGGATCACTTGAACCAAACCGAGCTCTGGACAGACGTTGACCGCAATGAGTTTGACCAGTATTTGAACATGAGCAGGACTCGTCCCGAAGCCTCGGGCCTCCCTTACCATGTCTCCCTGTCCAAAGTGACTCCTAGAAGTATCTCCTGCGAGGAGAGCAGTTTGATATCTGCCCTGTCCGATGCCAGCAGTGCTGTTTACTATAGCCCCTGCATCACCGGTTAGGTTGACCCCACCATCCAATGCGTGCACCAGGAGAGCCCAGACTCTCCTCTAAAAAACAAAAAGCCATCCTCCTTTAACCACGAGCTCCATCATATTTAGAGTATCTCATTAAATGCATCGCTTTCTTGTTTGTTCTTTTTTTATTTTGATTTTTTTAAAATTTTTTTTAGAGACAGACCATGCTGAACTCACTGATATACCGTATAACTATATAACACAGATAGACGCCTTTCCCCGCCGTGCTCCCCGCTCCAGCCCTCGGCAGGGCACATCTCCAGCTCCCACCAGCTCCAAGGGGCATTTTCAAGTCAATTCCAGTAAATCCTGCCTGAAACAATCACACCAGGATGAGCCAAATTGTGACCTGTCCCCAGTATTTAACCCAAGGACAGGCAAACTTTTAGGGGGGAAAAAGCTTTTAGAAAGACTTTGCCGGGGCTGTTAAAGAGTCGGCGCCCATTAGGGGTGGGCTTTAGGACAGTTTTTACTGTATTCTCAGCAATATATTTTAATTGGGCAACAAAACTATATTTTTACTAAGCATTTTTATATATAAAATGGTATTTAATGTCTTTTGGGGGTTTTTTTATTAGACTTTTTAAAAAGAAATCAAGGGATATCCATGAGATCTAAAGCATTTATGTAGCAAAGCTGGATTTAAAGAAAAAAAAAAGGAAGGGGGGAAAAAAGGAGATATTTTGTGAAAAGGGAATGCTAATGTAAATATTGAGGAACAACTGACTGGAATTTTGTACAAAAGAAAAATATGACTGCAAACACTTTTATTGTCTAGAACTGTATGGAGAGCAAACTGTTTTATTCTGGTTAATTATTAAAACATCTTCATATAATTGTTCCCATCTTGTGTGCTTGTTGTGTGAACACATATTTTCCGCAAATACATGTTGTCCCAACCATTTCCAGATTTTTGTATCCGTTGATTAATGTTTTGACAACCTGGCAAATGTATTAATTTCCAAGCTGCTGCCCGCCCGCCCCGTCAGCCGCCTCGGGCTCCGCGAGCGCGGCTCTGCTCGGCTCAGCACAGGACGGTGGCTTGGGATGGGATGGGATGGGATGGGATGGGATGGGATGGGATGGGATGGGATGGGATGGGATGGGATGGGATGGGATGGGATGGGATGGGATGGGATGGGATTCTGGCGGCAGCCCCACAGCACCGCGCCGTGCCGCCCTGAGATGCTCCCAGCAGGAAAAGCAGCTGTTCTCAGATTAAAATATAATAAAACATGTGATATCCTCCTCCGAAACGAGCCTTGGTGTGGTCATTGTTTTGGCAGGCTGGCAGTGCACCGATGCGTGGTCCCCATGGCTCACCCTGTTTTCCCATGAAACCCCCCAAAAATAGAGCCAGGCTGCTGCAATGCTTTCTCTCCAATCCTCGGAGCTGAAAGAAAACTCCGTGTAGCGGAGCCTTTCCTCCTCCTGGCCTTCATTGGCTGCTTCCCGGCTCCAGCAGCGGCGGATCTTGCCGAGCCATCACCATGCCCAGCCGGATCCTGCTCGGAGCTGCTGGTGCTTTGCTGGAGCTTCATCCCCCTCCTGTGAATCACTGTATGATTTACAGGGAGCTTTTTTGTTCAATTTGAAAAGGAGGAACAACAATCTGTTGCTTAAAACCCGGTGGCATCCGTTCCTTGAGCGCCGAGTGATTTAAACCAGGCTGATATAGCCAAAAAAGGCTGTTTTAAAAAAAAAAAATTAAAAATTGAATAGAAGAAGAGGTTTTTTGTTGTTGTTGTTGGCAAAGAATTGCCTTTTAGGGGAAATGGATATTTAACAAATGACATTAATTTTCAAGCTTCTCCTAAATTAAATTCACATTAGTGTTAACAGGACTCAATCCTGACTCACTTTTTTTTGTTGTTGTTGAATGTGAAGCGCTAATAAACGGGACCACTCCGGGGGCTGGCGACGCGTTCCCATGGAACGCCACAAAGGCGCTTCATTGTCTTTCCATATACAGTATGTAAAAAGGGGGAATACATGGAAAAATGACCTCACTACCTACACGGGAGGGCTGGCGGGCGCCCGGCGGGTGCCAGAACCCGCGCTGCAGCAAACAAACACAACACCAAATGAGAAGCATCCTGTGCCGCCGATGACTATGAAAGGAAGCAGCCGGCTATGGGCTCCATCCCCGAAGCAGCCTGGGAGGAAGGAGATGAGGGAGGGGGGGAGAAGAAGAAAGCTCTGAGTTATTTTCCAGCTCCCAGCTTCCAGGTACCTTCCAGGCATGGATGCGGTCACTTCCTGCGGTTCAAAGCAGCGGTGAGCAGGCCGATCCTCACCCAGCTGCTCGCTGTGCCGGGGAGAGCCACTGTCCATCACACTGTGGAGAAAACATGAAGTCACTTTTCTGCAGCAGAAATTCCCTTCTGTCCCTGTGGTTCAGCTGTGCCAGCTCACCGTGGTTTTTCAATTGAAGGAGGGTCAATTTAGATTAGATATGAGAAGTCGTTAGAATGAGGGTGGTGATGCAATGGCACATGTTCCTGGAGAAGCTGCAGATGTCCCGTTCCTGGAAGTGTCCAAGGCCAGGTTGGATTGAGCTTGGGGCAGCCTGGTCTAGTGGAAGGTGTCCCTGCCCATGGCAGAGGGTTAGAACTCGATGACCCTTAAGGTTCTCTCTAACTCAAACCACGCTGTGATTCATGTCCCAGATGCTGCTGTGGGGTTCAGCAGGTGCTGAAAGCTGCAATGGGTGGTCATTCCCGTCCATAACTGCACCAAGGATACACCACGTTGAAGCCACAGCCACTGTGAAAGCCCCACCTTGCTGGCCAACCCTACCCCAGGTCACAGGGAAACAAAAGAGAAGGGAAAGGAGAGAGGGAAAAAAACCCTCCACCTCTCCACAGTCACTGCTGCAGCCTCATGATTTAGCCATGGCCAGGACAGGATTTATCCCCCTCCAAATCCAGGGTTTGGTGAGACTGGTGGCACAGGGGCTGATCCAGCTCCATCAGGAGGGCAGAGAATCCAGCTGAACCTGGGAGAGATGCTGGATCCTTGTGAAGGGTGCTGGCACCTTGATGGCTTTTAACTACTTATTTTACATATTATTTTTATAATTTTATATCTTGTTTCATATCTTATATATTAGTTCTATATCTATATTATTTTTATACACTAGAATTTATTTTAGTTTTTTTTATTTAATATTTTATTTCTTTTCAATATTTTTATATGTTACTTTTATATATTTTTAACATATATATATTATTTTTATCTTTCCCCTGCCCCTGTCCCCGTACAGCTGCTCTGGGGCCAGGAAACCATCCCCCAGTGTTTTCTTTCACTGCATGCCAATGGCTCAGGTGTGACGTGGGACTGGAAATGGCTGGAGCTGACATAGTTTGAGGATGATTTCACTGCCGTTATGGCTCAGGCTGGGGCTGTTACTGCACAGCCCCTTCCGATTTTTATGACTTAATCTCTCCAAAGCTCAAGGCCGGATGGTTTTGGGCTGGGGAGGAGGAGTGAGGGGCTTTTAGCAGGTCGTTACGGCAGAAATATGGAGAAGGTACTTGACAGGTAAATGGAAAACCTGACAGCCCATCCTGCCGGCTTTCCCAGCATGCAGGGAGAGGGGGAGGCGATGCCAGGTCCTGCCTGGGCTTTATGGGCAGGTGGCATCTGCTCTGTGTCCCCTGGGGGAGTGAGGCAGTGGATTCTATCTGTGTGCAACTGCGCAACACATCCCTGTGCAAACCTGCACGTGTGCAAGCATCGGTGTGAATGGGTGTGCAAGCACCCGTGTGTCCCTGCACCACTGCATGCATCCATGCTCACATCCATCCCTGTGTGCATTATCTACATGTGCAGGCATTTTTGTGTGTGTGTGCACACTCCTGGATATCCGTGTGCCTGCATCTGGGTGATTGTGTGTGTGTGTGCAAGTGTCAGCACCTCTGCACGTGTGTGCTGCTCCTTTTTGTGCATCTTTCTTGTTGTCCCTCTGTGTGTCTGAGCCTGCACATGCATCCAGGTGTTCCTCCATGTGTATCCATGCGTGCATCTCTCCGTGGATATGTCTGTGCACACATGTAGGCGCATCCATGTGCGTGTGTGCATCTCCATGTATTTATCCCTCCATGTGCTCATGTTCCTGCCCATGTGTGCACGTGTGTGTGTGTGTGTGTTCTGCTGGAGGTTCACAGATCAGCTTTATAGATGTTCTGGATTTTTTACAGCGTTACGGAGCGCTCGATGACATCACCCACCCAAATATTAAAACCTCATGTGCCAGCCAGCCCAGCCCGGCAGTGTTCAGCTCCAGGCTCGCTGTTCCCAAGGCTGAGGCTGTGGCACAGCCAGGGGCAAACAGGATGCTCAGGGTGGCAAGTGGCAGCTCCAGAGCAGCCCCAGCCATCCCAGCCCAGAGCTCACCGTTGGAGTGGGAACATTGACATAACAGCCCTGATGAGGTCATGCTGGCTGGAATGAACAGGGAATTAGAGCCTCTTGATCCCTGTATTTTGGGTCTTCAGCATCTCTAGGAAAAGGAACATGCTGCCGATGCTGGTTCCTCACTGTGGCACCAGGCAGCTGCTTTAGACCAAGTGATGGGATTTATATTTTCCCCTGTCTTCCAGAAAAAAAAAAAAAAAGATTTATCAAAACCAAACCTGTTTGTGGGAAACGGCTCCAAAACATTTCCTGACTCGAGAAAAAGTGCATTGGAAAAAAAAAGTTTCCATTTTTTTTTAGATGGGAGGCAAAACCTTTGGAGAGGTAACAGCATTCTGAGGTGGGAGGTTAAGCAAAGGGAAAAGGTTGAAATGCAAAGAAAGATTTCAGATGTTCCCAGAACAACCTTTCCTGGTCAAGCAGAAGCTAAGTTCCCAAGCCTTCCCCAACTTTCTTCTTTGCAGCTCAGTTTGGGAAAGGAAATGTTTGGAAATCTCAGTGCTCCTTGCAGACAGGAAAGGCCCCGTTTCCTCTGCGCCATGCCCAGAGCTGCCGGGCAGCAGGAACACTTGGGTGAGGCTGGGTGCCCGCCCCAGCTCTACTTCCAGCAGCAGGAATTCTCTGCAGGCAGGGGAGGGCAGCTGCCTGCAGGGAACAGGAGCTGGGATGTCATAAATATTACAGGTTTTGCAAAAGAAAAGAAAATAAGCCAGCAAGGAGTTCTTAATGTGCCCTGGGAAATCTGTGCAGCCTGAAACCCTTCAGCACTTTTATTGCTGTGAAGCTCATCCTCTGCATCCCTTGTGGAGCTTGGTTGTCTCCCCCTAGCTCACAACATTGCCCCCACCAGCCCTCACATCCCGTCCAGTGCCTTAGGGCCACCACAGGCCCCTGGACCCTCAGTCCCTTGCCCCACACCAACATCTGCTCACCCAGCACGGTGCTGAGGTCCCATGAGGAGGACAGGTCCCTGTGAAGGAGGTAGGTTTGGGTCTCATTGTGTGAGCCATGAGGGGCTTTGGGGGCTTCTTCTCTTCACTGGCGCTGAGCCCGACAATATCTGTCAGAACCACTTTGTGCTTCTCTTCTGAGGTGATTCAGCAATGCTGTGAGGTGCCAGGAGGCCAAAGGGTCATGGAAAGGTTGGGAGTGTTCTCCAGAGGTCACCTAGTCCAATCCAATCCAACAGAGCACAACCCAGACAGGACGACCTAACCCAACCCACCTAAGGCAATACAGCCAAACCCAACCCAGCCCAGCACAACCCATCATAACTCAATTCAGCCAACCCAACCACAAAGAACCCAAACCAACCCAACCAAACTAACCCATTCTAATCAATCTCAACCCAATGTAACATATTCCAAGGACCCAATCAACCTATCCCAGCGTAACCCAATACAATCCAACACAACACAGATGAGCCTGCCTAACCCAACACAACCCAACTGAGTCTGCCTAACCCAACATAACCCAGCTGAGC